GGGAGAAAATCACACATACCTTAGACTGAACTTCACCTTTCCTGGGACTGTAGAGCCTTTGAGCCCTTCTTTCTTCTTGTACTAAATTCCTGTGAGGAGGCACACAGGGCTCAACATAGGAAGGAAACTGGGGGAGAAAAAGTTCACTTTCTTCTTTTGGCTTCACTCATCTCACAAAAGCCTCCAGATGTAACTCCTTTTGTCTGAATATTTCTGTCTGCTTCAGACTGACATTTCCTCTCCTAGCTGAGAGATGGGCAGACATATTTATGGCAGAAAAGATAAATTGTGAAGCATTTCTCCATCCAGGTCTGCATTTGCTTGCACATCTTGTGCTTTCCCTGCAGCCAAACGTGCTTTCATGCATACAGGAGCACTTCAGGATGCCAAGGAGCATGAGGGGCTGCCTGGACACGGAGATGTACCCCTGGGTTCAAGGATATTGTTTAAGGCTTGTGGAGGTGAAATATGGCCATAAGCTAGCCAGCATGCATGGTCATTTGGGATCTCCCCAGCTGGGCAGAATGATATTGCCCAGTGTGGATGAAAGCCACCACTTGGTTACCTCCCATCAAGCTGTGGCATATCACACAGCACATGGCACAGCCATGGCCAGGAGGAACACCCAAGCCCCCTTTCTTTGCAGGGCTGGTGAGTACCTCGTGCTCGTGGCTTCAAGCCAGGCCTTTCCCAGTTCTTGGCACTGCTGAACAGCAGCTGCAGTGGTCCAGAGGCCAGCGCTAGATATTTCCACTCATTTGTTTTTTAAGCCTACGACCTCATCCTTACAAGCTCCATTTACTACACCTTTAGGATCCTATGAGGTGGGCAAACACCTCTTAGAAATTTTACTTGGCTCAGTAAATTCCTCCGGGTCCCTAGTGAGCCATATGGTGAGTTGACCCTGCCCCACTACTGGGAGACCCAGAGCAAGTGGCACATCTAGCATGGGGGAATGCAGTGTGTGGACAGGCTTAAAATACCCCAATTAGCTGTGTTTAAGGTTTAGCTTTTCCAACAAAAGTATCTGCAATTAATTAAAAAAAAAAAAAAAAAAAGAAAAAAAAACAACAACCCCCACCCACCAAATGAGTTACATTTGTGCATTATTTGGTTGTATACTACGAATTATGGTGGGATTGTGATTAGTGCCCTGTCTGTTAATCCAATTGAGCCTGACTGTGAGTGACTTACAGGGTTTTCTTCCAGAACATGAATGCTGGAGAACCAGAGGGCATTTTGTTAGGAACTGAACAGCTAGACTGAGTACTGTGCCACACAGGCAGACTTGCCTATACAGGAACTAACTGCATGCATACTCTTTTATGATGAAGCAGAACAGATCCTTTCAGGCCAGATCAGTGATCAGATGTGCACTGGCTCTAGTGTCTTTTTTCCTACAATAGCTATTAAAACCAGGCAATTAAATGTCTGTTGGCACAGTATTTGCTCCTGTGCTTTGGGACTTCCTGAGCCAGGGCCGCAGCTCTGTAGTTAATAACCCTTTAAGGATTTTAATTTTTTTAATGTTATTTTTCTAATCGTTTTTGAGCTCATTTCTTCTTTTGAATTAGAACATCCCATGGCTGTGAATTTCTATCTCCTGTGTGAAAATTTTGTTTTAATGTTATCTCAGATAATTTTAGCCAAAATTCCCTGTTTCTGGTAGGGAAGCACTCTAGAAGCAATGAGTACTTCCTCTCTTCTTCATGTCATTTATTGTTACAGGCCATGACATCACATTTGTGATCTCTTTTTCCAGGAAGAGAAGGTCCAGTGCACACAGCCTCTTTCCTTTCACTGGTCCTAATTTTTTCAGTTCTGCTTCATCTTTTCAGTGTTTGTGAATGCAAAATTAATCAGTAATGGAGTGATAAAGGCCATGTGGTGATGTTTTCTCTTTGGTTTGTTGTCCTGAATTCCAAATGTTACACTTGCTTCTTTTTTTTTTTTTTTTTTAATGAGTATGGTTACTCAGTAAATTATGCAAAACAACTTATTCCTGACAAATACTAGCAAACTAAAACCTACTATTGAATATGCACAATTTGGGGAGTCTTTGCAGCTGTGCATAATTTGTGTTTACCACTGCTGAATTACAGGAACCAACATTTCAGCCCATCACGAAGCACCAAGTTGCTGGCTGGCTCTGTGCAGCCTGGCTTGCAGCTCCAACACCTCCCAGCAGGATGGGCCTGCTCAGTCCCAACCCTGGAGAGTGTCCCAGTAAACGCTGACTGAGGTAGGTGTTTCCTGATATGTTCTGTTATTAAAGCTTTTCCTAAAGTTTGTTGAAGCATTGTGAGAGGCTTTGTTCGAATGAAATTTTGCAGTTGTGGTGGGTTGTATCAAAGCCTGTGTGCCTGTTTTTTGCCTGAAGAGGTGAGGATGAGGAGGATATAGAGGATGAGTGATGTCACTGGTTCCAGTAAGAGCAAATTGCTGTGTGAGCAGGTGTGGGTCTTACAGCTGATGCTGCTGAGGGGAGAGTTTGCAAATAGTATCTCCTAGTTCAGGGGGTAAATGATAGAGAAAAGCAAGACTGAGTGTGGTGTTCCTTTTGTTCAGGACCCCAAACAAACCACATGCTACACACTTCTCAGGAATGAGGATTCTGTATGTCCTTCTAGGTAGGTTTTCCACTTCTGAGTGGGAAGACCTGAATGTCAGCTGTCAGTGACTGGTGTTCTGGTCTCAGGCTCCTCTTTTGTCAGTGCCTCCTGTGTGCATCTTCTTGAGAGGGATGAAGACAAAAGAGGGCCTACCATGTGTAGCTGTTGATGCACTGGAAAGCCAAGATGCGGCTGGGTATGTGATGTGTTTTGGCTGACTTAATACTTGTAATCTTTGTGCACTGTTTGTTTTTCAATAAAGAACAATGAAACATTTTTACTTCAAAGTATGGATGTTATGTGAAATCTCTGTGATGCATTCCCCATTATTTTTCCTAAAGCGGGAACTTCTTAGTTCCTCTGTTATGAGCATTGTCTTTTGACTTCGTTCGTATATAACAGGAATGCAAATCACCTGGGAATTAAGAGTAAAGGAAAAGTAGTTTGATAATTTATGTTGCTACTATATTGTTTGTGTTAATCTATTTTTGTTTTCAATATGAAAAAGTTACTTCTGAGGGATAACGTGGAGGATGTGGTAACAGAGATTTGGCATTTTGCTGTTTGTCTGCTGAGCATTTTCTCTGGTATCAGTGGAGTACTGAACTTGGCATGCTGGCATTAGGAGAGCCCCTGGTTCTAGTGGAGGGAGGTATTACAGTTAGCTTGGCTTTGTGGCTATAGTTGCATATGGGAACAGAGATCTTGGCAATTTTTATACTGAAGAACAGTGTGTTTTGTGCTTAAAACAATAATTTACTACTAATTTACTGTCTTCTATGGGGTTCAACTAGGAGCATGTCTTTCATCATCAGATGGAAATTGCTTTTTTCAGGGCTTCAAATCTGCATGGTTTCTTGTCCAGTCTCTCCTTTGCACACACATGCATGCACATGTATATGTTTTGACTCTCATGCAAACTGAATGAGGAGAGCTCTCAAATCTTCCTAGCAATCAGGTTTGCTATGCAATGTATGTCATGTCACTATGTTACGGTGCTCCAAATGTCTGAGATGCACCATATTTGTATGAGCCTAGAACAGTGTGCTCATCAGTCTACTAAAAATACTTTCTGTCTAAATGAAGAGGATCCCTCATGTTAGAGGCCATATATCTAAACTACTAAGAGTAACAACCGCATTTTAATGTATTGCAAGAAAACCACACCACTCTTGCTGTTTTTTTTTTTTTTTTTTTTTTTTGCATTATTTTAATACAGCATTAAAATGCTAGAATACTAGAGAAAAGCTGTATACTATCCAGCAAATAAGGCACATGTCGGAATGCCATTTTATGGACAATCCACAACAGAGGTTTTACAGTCTCTTTAGCAATGTAGTCGCTCAGTAAGTTAGCTGTCATCTTGATTGCTGAAGCAGAACTGGTACCTCCGAGGCTGTTGTCCATAGGTTCTGTTTTTGTTTTAGCTGTACAAGTTTCTTAACAGTTACAGAAAATGAAATTGTACAAATAGCCAACTGAATCTGACAAGGTCAGTGGGCACAGCTAAACAAATGTAATAGTAATTAGGTTAATTTTTTTTAAAGCTGAAGAAATTCATAAGATACAGTGTTAGTTTTAGCACTAGTACACAATGCAGTGAGTGCTGTACTAAACAATCTTTTAAAGGAAACAAGAATCCAGTACAGGTTTGGGCAGACCTCCCATTTTAGCATGGTAAAATATCAAACTAAAAACCCAATCCTTCATAATATAATCAAACTACATGAAATGTAAAGTGTAAAAATGCTTCAAATACGTGCACATGCATATTCTATATTGCTATGAGTTCTAATTAAAATAAACATAAATCCTTACAATCATCTACTTCAATGCATTTCTCTTCCATCCTTTGATTAATATTATTGCTGTAGCCAGTACTGCATAGCTGAGCTCACAGTCTGCAAAGATTTGTGAAAGTTGAGTTGTCAGACAGCGTCCCAATCAACTCTTTTCCCCTCTCACCATGAAAAAGGACAAGAACTACCATTTGAAACTCAACGCTTGTGCTTCAGAGTCTCTGAAAGCTGAGTCTCTGTGGTGCTTTCAGCATCTTCTGTCTTTCACAAGGTCATAAAGTGACACTATACTGTTATTTGCTCTCACTTGCTATACATCTAGTGATAGCTTTTTCTAGCAATCCTTCCCCAAATACACATAAATAAAATGTATAAGCATTTTCATATAAGTCAAAGCACTTGAATAATATATTGGTTACTTAATACTGATATTTTCATCCAAGGATAACAAAAACAATATGGCTTAAAGAATTGCAAGTTTTTTTTGTCAGAATTATGTACCAACTTTCATATAATATTTTATGTAGACAATATTTCCTTCTTAATGTAGTTCTGTTGCATACTTTATACAGACAAAAGCATTGTAAAAAAAAAAAAAAAAAAAAAAAAAAAAAAAAAGTAAATTACTTCCATAAATATTTTCTTGAGGATACATCCCTAGTTCTGCAAAATACTTAAGAAGACTTTTACCTCTGTTAGTATCCTAGTTGAGAGGAAGGCCCTTCTGAAAGCTTCCAAGTTGTAAAAACTTTTTCCCAAAGAACAAACAATATTTTTACTAAAAAGGCCCTCAAATATATACAAAAAAGTTACTGCAAAGAGTTTCCAGATAAGATAACGATTCAGTATTACAAGAAATATTTGTAACCATTCAAAAATTTTAACATCTAGAAAGGTTTCCAAAATACACACATAGTATTAAAAAAAAAATTGAAAGAAACTCTATGTCAAGTATAACTCAAGATAAATACACATCTGCAAGTAAAACTGTAAAATACTTCATACAGGGTAAACATTTATATCAATCATCTATAGCTAGTAACTGCACACGATTGTCCCTTTGAAATTCATCCTAGAAACACAAACCATCATCCCTATGTCTAAGATCTTGACCAGCCCTCTGAGCACTTCAGCAAAATAGCAACATTAATGGACAGCAGTGGTTTTGCGGATAGGAAGGAGATGTGATGAAGCCTGATCTGGAGCAGAGTGATATCTTAGAGGATGATTTTGTGTGGGGATAGTTCCATCACATTTTGAAACGTTGGCAAAGGCAAATGGAAAGTGTACGTCACTTCACTTAAATCATAAACATGTGTTTTTGAAATCATTGCAATCGATTCAGTGGATAACTCTTAGCATCCACACTAGAGAAAAAAATGGTATTCCATTTGACTGCAGGACATAGAGAACTAATCTATGAATGCTGACATTTCCAAAAGCTTCTTACTATTTTAAAAGTAGTTTTATTTGGGAAATAACGGCTAGATCTTGTCAGGTATGCAACCCATGTTTAATCTAAATGTCACGTTATACAAAAGGTAAAATATAGAGAGCACTTCTTAATAAAAGGCTTCTTTCAGACAGCTGTGAATTCACATTTTTAGTTTACAAATTGTGTCCCATATAATGGGGAATTTAAAATACACTTATTTTCAGAAATAATATATACTCTTGTGTATTTATTTGAAACTAAGAGGCAACAGGAAGGCCTCAATTTTTTCTTGTGTGGCATCATTTTATGCCAGCCATAGCAGCAATAGAAACTGGCTAAAAGGGGGCCATCCTTTAAGCTACAGGGATTTCTTTCATTGTCATGAAAGGAAATATTTGTAACAACTTCAAAGGAGCTGCATCAAGTTAAAACAGCTAAAGCCTATGCTACTTATTTTGGATTCCCAATAATTTTCTCCAGTGCAGGGCCAATGCCAAAGAAAAACTTCATGTGAAATGTTCAGACCAACTAAAGAAATAATATGAGATATATTTTTCAAGAAACAAATGAACCAAAAAAAATCTGAAGGAGGAGGAAAATGTAAGAAAATCATCCCCAAAAAACTGCTGCATGCTGGATGGACCTATGGATCTGTAGGTGGGCAGATAATAGCAAGCATTTGATGAGGTTTAAAACTGGGCTTGACAGATAAAGGCAGAGAGAGAAATTTATTTCAGGTACGTCCCTGAGAATACTCTATTTAGGGAGACCTGCACTGATTTAAATTTCTTTACTGGAACAGCTTTGTTTCTGATAGCTGCTTAAAAATCCCTTTGAGGAATACTAGCTAATGGTCTAAATGTAGAGCTATTTAAAGAGAACATCAAAAAAGTATTCCTAAAAATACAAGTGGTAAATAAACTCATCCTCTTCCCACTCAAAGTATGACTTCTAGGGTTGTATTTTTTCAGTTTGGAAGGAGTTTAGCCTATGGGTAAATCACCTTTTTTTTTTTTTTAAATTTAAAAAAAGATAAAATTATAGGCAATTTGTTTTCTATTTTTTTTGATGTGAAATTGATATTAAGAAGTTTTCTTTCTGTGCCAATGACCACAAGATATTGTCTGGTTCTTAGAGCTGCGTGTTCTTCCAGCAAGACACCAAGCATACAGAAAAGCATGGAGCAGATGCTCCTATGAGCAAACCTTGGCAGAAGGGATGGAGGAACCTCATTCATGCTTCCTCAGCCACCAGCTTGCTAGAGAGAGGCCCTGAGCAGGAAAGAAAACAGGGTTGCCTTGCATTCTAGGGGAAGTTTGAGTTGAGCCCCGCAGACACAAGGACAAGGACATCCTGTCTGGGTTCCCAGTGCTCTCCTGTCCCACCCCTTGCCTCTCAGCTCCAGCAGAGACAGTGAGATCAGCACGCTGCTTCCAGCCCCAGGGGGCTGCAGTCCAAGTTCGGCAGGACAAAGTAGGGCAGTGTCTGGCTTCTAGCTTCTCCCCACATTTTTTTAATCTGTTCTTCCCCAGCACAAGTGCAGGGGAAAATAGATTTTCCTCCTAGATATTTTAGATATGCTTAATATTTCTTACATACTTTGTCTTCTACCTGGAAAAATGTGATATAAATATGGAACTCTTTTAACTCTACTTTTAGGAACTGTTACTCTACATGGAGAGTTGTTAAGTATGTTGAAGTTGATCACATATATTTTTAGGAAGTTTATTTTAAAATAAAACCTAAAAGCACCACCATGAAACACTGAATCTGGATAAACAGTTTTTAAGAGAACACTGTCATGAGAATAGCGATGATTGCATATAATGGCATTGGCAATTGGCCTTTGTTCAGTATCTGCTGGTATGCTCTATGTTGATGTAGCTATACCATGGGATGTGCTATTCTACTGATTTAGTGGTTATAAAAAGCAGGAATTATTTAAAAACAAAATGCTTGGCAGCAACGTTACGGAGAAAAATAATTCTCTGATTTTCTCCTGATGGTGTTCATCTACTTGTCCTTTAGTTGGATATGAAACACCAAGGATATTTCTGTTCATGTTCTGTTAAGCGCTCAAAAAGGAAAAAAAAAAAATAATAATTGGATTTAATGTGTTATTCTTTCAGTAAAAGCATGCATGCTGGAAACTAATTATCAAGATTAACAAGCTTTAAAATCCACCCTCAAAATCACCTGTGTATTTTATTCTCTTATAGGCAAGTTAGTATCTTTGTTTTTCTCTAAGGTATTTTTTTTCTGAATCTGTGCAAAAGAATGCATTTTTATTTGAAAAAGCTGAAACTGTATATCTTGACTGACGTAACTGAGATCTCTTATTAGTGTTAACATTCAATAATATTATTCTTCAGCTACTCTAGTTTATAGAACTACCATCTTGGCAAAACTAGTTTCAAAGTGATTAATTTTCTTTAAGATTTTAGAATTACATAGCATTTTTCATCCAGTGATGTCAAAACGCTAATAGATACTGAGTATGCCTCACAACACTGCTGTGAGGTAGGTGCACTGAAGTACGATTACCCCCCTTTTGCAGCTGGGGGAACTGAAGTCCAAGAAGGATCTCGTGACTTGCCCACAGCCAGGGAGCTAATGCAGGAGTCATGGTCAGAATCAACAAATCCCAAGGCTTTTTCATCAGACTGACCAGTGGGCTGTGTCACTTGGGCTACACATAAATAATGCAGTTTGTGAGATATGTATATTACCCTACCACCAGAATAAGCAGAAACTATTCTGCCCTGTTTAGAACAAAGCAGAGAAATGGTCGAAGTTTCACCTTAGAACAAATTCTAAAGACCTTCACATTTCCTACAGGAATGCTCACTGAGTTTTCAGTTCGCTTTACAAGAGCTTGACTGTACTTATTGGTTATGTTTTGGTATTACTTGGCACAAAACCCTCTCTGTATTAGTACTGTGGAATTAATCCTCAAAACAGATTTAATTCACATCAAGTTATGTAGGATTTTAAATATTTCCACTAAGTATTCACACAAATCAATCTCTAAAGGAAACCTCACAAAAATAGAAATGTTTTTTGTTTTTTTTTTAAAAAAAAAACAAACAAAACCCAAACCTAAAACCACACAAACCATTATCCCTGTAAGTTTTCTCAGTGAATTGCTTGTTTTGTCCTTATGCCCATGTATTCTTATACAGACATATAAACAGGATACTGTCTCGAGGTACTTTCAGCTCATCCCTGATGAGATACTACTTTGCAACAGGATCACCCTGCCCAAAGTTCCACCTGAAATGGGACAACCAAATATAACTCCTACATTTCTCCTAAGGTAAATAGGTGTTTCAGGAAGACAGGAAAGTGGGAATATTATAAAGAGTGTTCTTCATACCTCATAACACCTTATGGCTAAAAAGTTTTACATTGTAACAAATTTGTACAGTAGAAAACAGGACATAAAAAATATTTCCAGAAAGTGGCTTTAAAACTATTATAAATAGTAAGTTTGGCTAATTGTTCAATTATGGATTTGGAGGACAATTTTAAGCATTCTTATCCCCCTTTATTCACAGTAAATTTAGTGTGCTTGCAGCCTAATGAATAGCGCATACACATGCAAAACCTCTTGTAGCAGAATTATATGACAAGAGAAAGATCTGTTAGTCACACAACCAAGCCAATTTTATCTCCTCCAAAAACCTCTTGGAATCCTTCCCGATGCTATGGGTCCCATTATGGCATTCCCTTTCTGTACAACCACACCCTCAAACAATTATTCACTTTTTTTTGCCTCAAAATTGCAAAAAATGATTTTGCCTAAGCCCTGCCTGAGTGACACTAACAAATAGAAAAGTCCAAGAAAGCAGCAACACAAAACTCTCAGACTTTCAAAAACTGGGAAAACAATTATTTTCCTTCTTTTATGCTGTGGCTTGTTTAATCTCCTTTTGTCTTGTCATATAATAGGAATAATATTCCTGTCGTGGGTGAGTGCTTTTAATTAGTGGCCCCACAGTTATTTCACCTCTGCAAAACCCATTTATCACATATAGTCCTTGTGAATATTATATCTTGCCTAAAGAATAGTACTTCATTTCACCTGACCATGATATAGGGTCTGTGTAAACAATCAGCAGAACCTGCAACTGTGGTTCTGTTGTGAACACTATCAGTAATGCTTATACGTGTGTACATATATATATGTAAGCTTACATATATATGTATGTATACAAATTCACCATAGTCCTGTAAATACCTGTTGCATGTGTGTGCATACACAGGAGAAATGTTACATTCCGTTAAAGGTAAGGCATACTGTTAGGTTATAGATAGGCAATATTGGCAATTATTTTAGCTTTTATCTTGATGTGTTGTGTTGCTCTTGATCGTGTGCTGTCAGAGGATCTTTAAGGATGAGGGGGACGGGAAGAGGCCACTTGGAAGGTTTATTGCACACGGCGGCAGTAGTAGCCCAAAACTTTGCACTTCTCACACAGGTGCTGGGGATGTTCTTTGCTCTGGTCTGAAACGTCCAGGCCATCCGGCTTTTCCAGGGGTCTCTGCAGAGAAGGGTGGGAACAAGAGTTGATTCAAGGCTTTGTCACTGCTGTTAATTTCTACTACATGTGCTGAGCATACTTCTATGCTTAACCAGCTTTCTCCTCACAGTTACAAAAATCCTGCTGTCTGAGCAGACAAAATATTTTCAACTCTTTGCTTTATAGTGGCATGAAGTTGCCTCGCAATCTTGAATGTTGTTCTTCATAAAGGTTCTGTTTACCTTGCTGTAGGTAAACTAATGAAAGCCCGAATGGGGAGTATGTTTATGTGGTTACACAGCAATTTATTCCCTTGGCTCCAGTAACTGAGACATCCCAAAAGCATTAGCACTTCAAGCATGGGAATCCCACTGCCCAGAATGCCAGAAGGGTTAATAACACTGCGATTAGCTGCTGCTACAGGAAAACTGTTTTACCTATGCACAGATATCACATAAGTTAGTGAGGTCTCAATCCCGTATTTACGAGGCTGATGTTTGTTTGTTTGTTTTTTAAGTAGAAGAGCTGCAAAGCTATTAGTAAAAACAAAAACAACAACAACAACAACAAAGAACCAGAAAAACTATCTCTGTTGTGAACCTGACTGATAATTTGGATATATTACTAAAGAACACTTGTAGAATCACAGGGCTGGCAGTATATTTAACTAAAAAAGGGAACAAAGCTGCTTTGAGTTTAGTAATCCTTTTGAGTTTAGTAATGTGCTTTAATTTTCTATGACATGTAAGAAGTTTTGCAATCACTTGGAAAATATTAAGTATTTTAGTAGGGATATTGCTGTTTGGAAAATCTGATCAGCAGAAGTGATAGAGGTGCGAGGTAGAACATAACACTGATGTGCACAGTTTGTTTTATACTAACAAAATGCTGTAACATAATTTCTCAGCTTTCTTGGAATGTACCTGAAAAATGATTTAAATACTCAATGCCTTACCAAGAAGAAGACAGTGGAAGTTCTGTGGAACTGTGGTAGAGACAGTGCATGATGTGAAATCTCAAAATAAGCCATAAGCATCTCACTGTTCTTACAAGGATAGCAGACTACTGCTTATCTTTCTTATAACAAAGAAAGGATGAAAAAAAAAAAAAAAATGATGGCCATTTATCTTTTATACCTTCCCTAAATACTACAGGCCTGTCATCATCTTTAAAACCTGGTACACCTGGTCTTCTAAGTTTCCTGGTTATTTATTTTTAAATTCTGCATATCAAAGCCACCCATCTGAGTGTGAGTGAATAAGTATTGACCTTTCTGAAGCTTTTTTTTTCTCTTAGTGTTACTCTGTAAGAGCTGCTCACACCCTATAGAATGGAAGACTTTCCCAGTGTTCAGTGGTTACAGTCAGGCAAAATGTACTCTTTTCCTAAAAAAATAGTCTGCAACTTCTTGCTATAATCAGTTGTATTGGATTATAAGTACAACACTTGTTCATTATGTTGCATAGCTAGTAGAAAGAATGTATGGGAGCAACTCAGTAGTGATTGCCAATGTCTTGTCACCAGTTTAGGATTCCTACCCACAGCACGTTGCCAAAATTTTTCTCTGTCCTGGGCTAGAGGCTATGTGACCTTCTGAGCTTAAATTTGTTTATAATTTAATTTCAGGCTGTTTTTCCTTTCTTGGAGAGGGGGTGCTTGAACCTGTATTGGTTGTGTATGAGGAAGGAAGATTTTGGATCTATCGGCAGCCTCGATTGAGACTGCAACTCAAATGCTGGTGCATTCTGGGCTTCTGCCACAGCAGAGACAAGTTGAATAAGCTTATTGGGTCAGAAAAACTGCCTTTATGCCTGTTCCACAGCCTATTCCACCAACATCTGCCCATAAATTTTCCTCAACAGTTTGCATTACATAAATCTTCCTCAAAGATGATGTCCAGGTTTAGGAGCTCCAAGATTTAATTTATTCTCCAAAATGGAGAATTGTAGAGCTTTGAAATGTTGCACTTAAAACAGTCTATTTAACTCAGCTCTGATTGCTTCTACATGTTAGCTGTGTTCTGATTAAAGAGAAAAAAATACAGCAGTTATCATGTTTATTGATATAAGCCAGATTTTTTTAATACACATGGCCTTGGGAATCATTTTTCCTGGAAATAGTGCAAAGGACATTGGGAGTGTCTTGAAGTGCCAAGACTTTTTTGGACTGTTTTCAGAAACAATAGCTCTCCGTGGTTTGCTTTCCCCCTGCGTTGATTGAGCTCAGCTTTTTGGCCCACGAAACACTTCGATTTCAGAGATGTTATTGTTACCTCTGTGTTACGACACAGAGGCTGGGGAGAGAGGGGTTACAAGGCAGGAAGCTGGGTTTCCAAGGGCTGGCTGGAAGGAGCTGAGCTGAGCCCAAACACTGCTTTTGCTGAGGGCTGAAGCCTCAAAATGGTGGTGGGCTTGCACAGTTTGTGCCTAAAATGAAGCCCCAGTTTATCTCTGTGGTTTTCCTGCAAGCCAAAAATCCCTGCAAGAGCTCTGAGAAGCAGCTGTTTTCCTCCCATTCTTACTGCTGATGTTCTAATCATGTGGAGGCCTTTGAGGCAGTAATCTTGCAGACTTGCAACTTTAATGCTATGCTAAAAAGGATATTAGATAGCTAAAGGTCTGCAGGTGATGAAGTGAGATTTCATTTGTACAGGCAGCTGAGGCTGACTCAGGAGCACTCTCACCAGCTTTGGAGGGTGAAAGAAGAAGGTGGAGAGTGCTGAACAGTTGTGTGGCTGCACACTATGGGTAATTTGGGGAGTTGTCTGAATGCTGCAGAAGATCCACTCAGCTGAGGAGGCTCTCTAATCCTCCAGCCCTGTGCTGCCAGGAGCCCAACAGCAGGAAGGCTCAGTACACTCAGAGCAGGCCTGGGAAAGAGGACTGGCTGCTTGGCTGAAGGAACAGTGCCTTTCCTTAGAAAGAGGAGAAATGCAGCCTGTAAAAGAGCAGAAAGTCCTGCTATGTTTCTCTGGGAAAGGTATTCTTTCTTCTGTAAAAGGGATAGTTTAATGTTTTGGTTTTCTTTTTTTTGTAATGCAAGTAAACAGGATTTGATGGTCTACTTTCTGTAAATACTATGGGGAAGGGCATTTCTCAACGTCTTGAGTTTTTGCATCTTTTTCTTTAGCATTCTTTGGTAGTTGATGGCTGGAAACGACCTTATGCAGCTCCACCAGGAAGGCATTTGACAGCAGTGACTAAAGCCATTGCCCAAGGTGAATAAAACTGAACTAAATTTAAATTAGCAATTCCTGTCCTGCAAACTAACTTAAGACTGTGAAGTATTGCTTCCCCAGTCTACATGTACTGATTAAACTCTGTATTCCATAAATCCTTTTTTCAAAATAAAGAACAAAACATACTCAAAGTGACTCATATATACGTAATGTCTTAGATGTTAGTGGAAATGTCACAAGGACACCCTTTAGAGAAATTATTCTTAGTGGAAGCAAAATGGGTGCTTATATTTCTATTTAGAAGTTTGAATTTATTTTTTTTTCCCCTTTAGAGTGGAACAATTTGATTCTACCTCTGGTAGATAAACCATATCAAAATTTAAATGCAAGAAAACAAGTATAAGTACATTTCTGGACTCATTACATCAGGCCTTAATGGAGCAAATGAGATGAATAGATGACATTAGATCTGTGCGTAAAAATTGATTCTACAGCTAGAGGTGGCAGGATACTGATAAAGGGCAACAATCTTCAGGTGCATTAGCTTCTATGCTTCTCTCAAGGCACAGACACTCTCAAGAATTTGTACATTGTTAGTACAATAAAAGATTATGGATTATGGATATGAAAGGATTGAATGTAATGTATTCTTGAGTGGCAGAGCTTTGCTTTCCTGCCTGTATGGCATGAACAAGGACTTCAGTTGTGGCTGTGAAACGGAAAGACTGCAATGAGAAGGCTGCAGATCCATGGCATGAAGATGTGAGAGCAGGCAGCCTCTGTTAGTGGCATGCCTCTGGAACAGGCCAGCTAGGAATGAAAGAGAGCCACCTGAAATGAACAGCAGAAATCTCTCTCGGTTGCAGAGAAGCAGCAGTCTGGGATGACTTGTTTTCCAACTGCTGGGGCACACAGAGGTGGAAATGCAATGATTCCCCTCCAGCTGCTGGGGAGGAATTAAATCCAAATAGGAGAGAGGGTACTTGCAGGCCTCAATCTGCTCACTAGTGTGTTGGGCTTTAGAGTGATCAGAGCCAATCCTCCCGAAGCTGAGGGAAGAGAAACTGCACCTGGACAGGGGAATTATGACGGAATCACTGCACTGCCTGTGGAAGTAATAGCTTGGATAACATGAAGAATGTATTTACATACCAAATTATTTTCAGTCTAGCGATAAATTCCTGACAGCTGGAAGTAAGTCATGTCCAAGAGGACAAGTCAGTCACCAGATGGCTGGTTCTACACTGGTGCAACAGCTGTCATCACAAACAGCCCTGGAGTCAGCCACGAAGTCAGAGAAGCCTTGATAAGAGGCCAGCCAGGAAGCAGGCACAGATGCTGCTGCTGGAGCAGTCAGGGGAAGAAAATGAAAATTCAGAGCTTGGCGTCTGGGCTGTTACAATGCCAAGAACACTGGTGAAAGGCTAAAATGACTGGCTCCACACTGGAGCAGTATAAGGAAGAGTACAGACAACTATATGGAATCCAAATTTCAGGAAATAATAAGAGGTAGAATTAAGTTCCATCGGAGGCTCTTTTTTTTTTTTTTTTTTTTTTTTTTTGTTATTGTTTTGTTTTGTTTAGGGTAGATAATGTGACTAGGCAGGAAACCTCTTTCGAAAGAGCAATCCAGTAACTCGTTCTGGGCAGTTCTTTGCTCTCCTGTTTCTCAGCAACACTTGAACTCAACGGGCCTCAAGGTCTTGGGAATTCCTGTAAGTATTTCCACCAGGAACTTAGTCATGAAGACAAAAATGCATGCAGTTTTTTTGGAACAGCTGTAGCAGTTTTGCAGCTCAGGTGTGAAAGCCACCTGATTTTTCCACTCTGAATTAGTTGGTAT